CTATCGCCACTGTGATCACACAGCCTGAGACAGGGGACAGACTATCGCCACTGTGATCACACAGCCTGAGACAGGGGACAGACTATCACCAATGTGGTCATATAGTGGCCTAGTAAGGGTGGGCAGAGTGGGCTGAGCTGCAGTCGAGCCTGATGCAGAGAAAGATGAAGCCGGCGAGTCCAGTGAAAGCCAGTACTGTAAAGCCCCTGACGTCGCACTGGAAGAGTGCACTGAAGCTGCACAATACACTATGTTGAATATCCAAATGTAACACATTCGTTATTGATGCCGATAAAGTGCTCCAGAATAACTGAAAACAAACACTTCCAACCTCAATCAAGAGGAAGGTTTTTGCAGAAGTGAACTACTGGGCTGGTCATGAGAGCAGGAACTCTAGGTTTGTTCTGTGCAGAAGTGAGGATATTCTGTGAGAAGCAGAGGGACACCACTCACCCCTGCACTGCGTGCACTGTGCAGACACACGCCGCACTGCAGCCTTTCACACACGTCCTATAAAGATAAGATCACAAAGCAACAAAAAGTTAAGTTGACATGAACTTGGGTTTAAAAAATACAGCGAAGACTCAGCTGCCTGACAACAGCAGGAGCCGGGAAGAATTCCAGAGACGTCTTCTCCGGGCCGGAGGAGAGCAGAATTCCACGAGCATCTCCTTCGCCCAGCATGTCATCAGAACTAATCTTCCCTGACCAGGGAGCTGGCCCACGGAGAGCCCAGGCAGCCGGATTTAGACAGAGCAATCCAGAGGATGTTGTCTAAAAATAGCTGTCCTATAAATTCCAAGGAGGGAGGTTTGTTTTTAAAATGTAAAAATAAAAAACAACAAATGTGCCACCAGCGTGTTACAATGGCAGCGCAGGCCACAGGCGCAGGAGATGTGTCGAGTAGTGGCTGGCCCATAATCCCCAGCAACATCTGGACCGTCGCCTGGCGGAGCGGAGCGGAACCGCAGCGGGGGCACGCCGTTATTTTGGGATTCTTCTTCCATACGTGGCCGGGGCAGGAGAGGAGGCCCGGAGCATTCGGTTCCCTCATTCTTCATCGACCTCTAGCATCAGGGTCCCTCTGCAAGTCAGTTAACTGGTCCGGGTAAAATTATGGAGTTCTGGACCGGCTGGGTCTGGGCCGGGCTCGGATCAAGTGCCCCTGGCTGGGTGGAGCTCTTTGCTGTTTGTGAACTCACAGTGTTGACCTGGAACCGGAGAGGACGGGTCTCCATGACACCTAACTTCCTGAACACCTATCTGAATGTCTTCTTTGGGCTCCGCAGAGGTGTTTGTTTTACAGTTGCCCCATTTTTCCCCACACCAGAAACTGGTTCCCACACATGTTCCTGTGAGGAGAGTGATTGGTTTTCCTGATATTACAAATAATATTTGAGAGGTCATGTGTATATTCAGCACTTAATAAAGCAAAACTAGCAGAGTCCTGCTAAAGATGTACTTAACCATAATAAAATCCTTTTCTTCAGAAAACACAATTCATCGTAAGTCTTCTTAAACAAAACTACTTTCCCAGACTGACCCCCCCAGAGCTCGGCTTACTAAAGCAATCTTGTTTGCTTTAGACAATCAGACGCCAGCGTGCCTGATTCTGATCTGGCTGAGTGACTTATATCACAGTAATTCACCTTCAGATTTTGATTCACTGACCATTAAAAATATTTGTGAGAAAATGTCTGTTTTTCTTAAGCTGTGTACAAAGTAGAGGGGAGAGAAACCAGCCCCACAGATTCAAGAAGCAAAGACAAAATGCACTGTATGCACGTTATGTTGTACAGTTGTGTTGGACTCTGCTGCAAACCAAATTTGATCACAAAGTTTGAGCTGAAATGCATTTGAATTGAATGGTTTCCAGACGGACACAGGAGAAGAGAAATTCCAAACCCTACAGCACCACCTGATGAGCCCAGAGACAGACGCCAGTCTGAGACGGGAAGGTCATTAAAGCGATACGCTGTGAAGCTGACAAGACAGCCGTTAAGGTGTTAAAATAGCTAACTTTATTGGAACCAGAGGATTTATACAGGCATGTCAAAACTCATTTCAAATTGAATAATAAATAAAAAAATAAAAATAAATATTAAATAAAGTAGAAAAACATGACCACACAAATCGTTTCTCAAAGCAAAGCATCCTACTGCATGTAGTTATGTCCTTTAACTGCAGGAATAAATAGAGGAAAAGAGTCTAACAGCAGGATGTCCCGTCTGGTGAGGCGCCGAGCCTCAGGCCCATCACTCTGGACAGGGAGGGATTTAGCGACAGGCGAGGATACGAAGGAGGAAGTCACACCCAAACTAGATCATTGTGTGCTATATACAACAGCCCTACGGATCGATATCAAGATCCGGGGGGCGCCGAGAGCTGGGTCTGGGAGAGCCCCAGAGCTCTCCTCCCTTCGGAACAAACATACTCATCCCAATCCGAGAGGCAGCCGTTTGGAGCATGACAGGGAAGAGAAAAATCACCTTTCAGAATAAATGAACTCTACACCAAAACCCTGCTTCTTTTTCTGCATGTTCTCCACATGGGTTCCTGAACTCCTGAAGAAGCAGGTGAGCAGGCATTAAGTGCTCAGGAGGATATTTCCGAGGAGACCCCAGCCTGAGGCACCTGGGGGACCCCAGGCGTCTCATCCCCGATCAGCGACGGACACAGACCACAGGTCCCGCCCTTTGCTATATTATTGCTTTGGGAGCTTTGCGATCTCCACTGGTTTTCTTTTTCTGCACTGATTATTTGTGTTAAACATAATGTACATCTATTACTTACAGAAATGCAAATTGAGGCAAAAACTGTACATTTTCTACAAAAGCATATCAATAAAAATATATATTTCTGTTTCTTCTCATATACAGATTTTGATTTGTTGATTTGCTTGCAAAACACAGTTCCAGTCCCGCGCGATGGTGCAGTGTCAGTCTGGGCGGGTGGTGGTGCTGTCCAGTCCGGTCTGCGTTGTGTTCAGTCAGTGGGGAGCCGGTCCAGACCCGGTGCTGCTCAGCGTGGTTGGAGTCTTCGGGATCAGACAGCAAAAACACTCATAGTGCTGGTCTGGTCCTTCAGGCCCAGGATGCTATAGGCGATTCTCTTCAGGTGTCCTGGCAGACGCACTCCGATATTCCGAATATCCCTGTCGGAGAGAGAGGGAGAGGGTCAGCACAGGAGAGAGGAGCAGAGCACATGCCGACACATGAACACAGAGGCACACGCCCTGATGTCAGTAGGTGCTTCCTTGATTTTTAATTGGGTTCTTAATTGTTTAACGAGCTCTCTGCAGCTCTTCTGAGGACCTCCGTCGCAGCCCAGGACAGCTGGAGGCAGGGACTCTCGGAAACACTCCCAGGTTTTGAAAAGCGAAAGACTGTTCCCATGTGGGAAGGCAGAAAAAATGTGGAAACTATAAAATTCTGCAACAAAAACATCAAAGACATCCTTCCTTTCCTGGATTCTTTACTTTCGCGGTCATCCCCTCCTGCCAGAGGAGTAACCAGATGGCAGAAATAAACAGGGGGCCGGCAGCTGTGATGGCCCTCAGGCCAGTTCTGGGACACACAGAGCCCTCGAGCAGGCAGGCAGCGCGGCCCGAGCTGAACACAAATATTTGGACAGTTGAAATTAAGCAGAGGGCTGGGCTGGAGAGCGGCCAGGGCCCTGGTTTTGGTGAGAGGGAGGCCACAGTCTCCCACACAGCCCGGCGCCCACGATGCAGCTGGATAGCCCCCGTGCAGTAACCCTTTCCCGTGCTGTACCGGGGGTCCCTGCCGCCAGCCGACCCACTCGCGCCCTCCCGCAGTCCGTCAGCCACGCCCTGCCTGCAGACACCTCCCTGCTGGGGGCAGCTCTGCCGTTTGGCGCGGTGGAGCTGTGCCAGGGGTCGTGGGCACACGGAGCTGGGAACCACAGGGCCTGACCGCCCAGCAGCAGCACAAGCTGAGTCGCGCAGAGCAGCCCAGCAATGCAGCTGTGAGCTTTAGTAAACCTGAACCCTTGATATTGCCGGTTAAAAACACCTCCACAGCTGCACGCACAGTACTGGCACGCCTGGCCCGCTGCTTTGTGAGCTGGAGTGTAAGGGGTTAACTCCTGGCCTTGCACAGCTGCTGTCTCTGAACGCATTGTGCTGGGAAGTCGTCTTTTTTTATTTTTTGGAACAAACGCTTGCCCTAGAGTTGCCCATCCCTGCCGCACATTGTGGAGCCTTTAAAGAAATTCCGCAGAAGAATTCCAGCAGCGAAGCCTGTAATCACTTGCCCTGGCCGGGCTCCCAGCAGCCCAGGGACACCACTCGGAGCCCCAGAAGTTCCTGCAAGTTTGTCAGCCTAAAGATCTTATTGCCTCCTGCCACTCTGATCCGCATCCCTCAGTCTCTGGGCCGAGCCGAGCCGAGCCGAGCCGAGCGGGTTCACTGCTGGCATTGATCCTCACGCTGAACTGCAGAAAATATTGTGCAGCCAACTTCCTCCTCATCCTGATCACTGGAGGGGGGTGACACTGTCAGCACTGGGGGGCAGGTGCACTGCACTGGGGGGGCAGGTACTCTGCTGTTGAGTCTCCAGGTCAGTGTAAGCAGCTCTCTGGTTTAACAGACAAATGAAACAAGAGCACGAGCAGCCCGGGGAAAGAAACGAAGCTCAGGGCCGGTTGCTGCGCAGACACTCACTCATTCCTCATCTGCAGCACCTGCTCCATGGAGGTGATGCCGGCGCAGGCGAAGTTCTCGTTGTACTGGCTCATCTTGATGGACTCCAGCCACTCCGGCACGGACTTGAAGGGAGGACAGTCGGAGCCGCTGGTGCTGGGCAGGCGGATGGACACCCTGCAGGACAGACAAGGCACGGGATAGGGCTGAGCATCACTGGGCGTCAGCAGAGACACGCTGTTCCCAGGAGTCACTCGCACACGGGACAGTCACTCCCAAACAGCCCCGGTCCTCACAACCCCCCCATCACAGCCTGAGCAAGCCCTGCTGCCTGTGACTGGGCCAGCACGCCGCACTGGCCCCAGACAGGTGTGAGGACCAGTGAGGACAGGAACAGAGCAGCTGGAATAAGGCTCTATCCCAGCTGTCTGAGCCTGTCAGGTCTCGCACTCTGCCCGGCCTGACCTTGCTGTGCTGTAGCAGTCCTTGTGAATTGGGTCGCACACAGCTGTGAGCAGCTGGACTGGCCCCCTGGACCGGGTCGAGCGCTCGGCACGCCTACCGTGGGTCGAAGTCCGCGATGGTCTTGAGCGAATCGGGGCTGCGCAGCAGCTTGTCCAGCAGGCTGACGATGTCGGCGAATTTGGGCCGCTTGGAGCGCTCCTGCAGCCAGCACTGCAGCATCAGCTGGTAGACAGCGGAGGGGCAGTCCATCGGCGCCGGCAGCCGGAACGCCTCGTTGATGGCCTTCATCACCTGAGGAGGAGGAGGGGGTGTCACGTACAGCAGACGGGACTGACAAGCACACACAAGCAGGCACTGTACAGCCCACAGTGCACTCACTGGCAAACTTATCATTATGACTATTTAAAACAAGATTCCAGTGCAAATCTTTCCCGTTTCAAGAGGAAGCAGACACAGTTTGGAATGTGCACAACCTGTTATTATGTCTTTAAAGCTTCCTGGCTGCCTGACAGAGACAATCCTTCATGTGCCACCCCTCCAGTCTTACAAAGTGAGAACCTGTGTAGAGCCAGGCTGCTAGTGCTGTCTAAATCATTACAGCTGAGGGACAGCATCACACCTCGTGATTGGACATATCCCAGTAGGGTCTCTCTCCGAACGCCATCACTTCCCACATGACGATCCCAAAGCTCCACACGTCACTGGCCGAAGTGAACTTCCTGTAGGCAATGGCCTCCGGAGCTGTCCAGCGAATCGGAATCTTCCCGCCCTGAGGGATGGAGACAAGGAGACAGGGTGTCAGGAACTGGGAGGAGACAGGGGAAGCAGAGTGTGGGGCAGGAAGAGGGAGAGAGTGGGACAGGGAGAGGGGCAGGGGCAGGAGCAGGGAGAGAGAATGGTGCAGGGAGAAGGTGTGGGGCAGACAGATAGTGTAGGACAGATGCAGGAAGAGAGAGAGAATCAGGAGAGGGGGAGGATCAGTTGTATATTTATGTTCCTGTTAAGAAATTGGAAGACTGGCTGGATCAACATCTTGCAATGACTTGGTCAGAAAATGTTACTTGCCCCTGACACAACCCCTTAGAGACCCCCCCCTCCACATGCAGGACTGCACAGCGCCCCCTGCAGACTCACGCTGGTGGTGTAAGTGCCCTCTGGGTCGTCCTCCAGCACACGGGACAGCCCAAAGTCCGACACCTTGCACTCCAGCTGGCTGTTGACCAGGATGTTGCGCGCCGCCAGGTCACGGTGGACGTAGTTCATGTCGGAGAGGTACTTCATGCCTGCGGCGATGCCACGCAGCATGCCCACCAGCTGGTACGAAGTCATTTCGCCATCGTGGTCCTGCCAGAGAGAGGCAGACATTGAGCTCACTGAGCTCCCGAGAGCTGTGGGCCAGAGAGGCCGGGTGTCCTCCGCTCACGAGTGGCTCGGGTGAGAGAGGGTCGCTCGCCAGACTCACCCTCAGGTACTTGTCCAGCGCTCCGTTCTCCATGTACTCAGTCACAATCATGGCGTGCTTATCTGAAGGAGAAGAAGACATCCAGTTAGGACAACAATCACACGGGCATGTGAAATAATACTAAGCGCTCTGTGTAGGAGACTTAGATTTACTATGAAGGTTTGTGTGGAGGAGAACAGAGCAGACAGACGGCTGGAAGACGGGGTGACAGAGGGCGGTGCTGACACTTACACTTGGTGACGACCCCCTCCAGGCGGATGATGTTCTGGTGGGTGAACTGGCCCATGATGCTGGCCTCGCTCAGGAAGTCTCGCCGCTGCTTCTCCGAGTACCCTGGCTTCAGCGTCTTGATCGCCACCGCCACCTCCTTCTTGCCTGGCACTTTCAGGGTCCCGCGGTACACCTCCCCAAACTCGCCTGCAGGGGGCAACAGAGAGGGGGCATTAATGCTGTGTGGTGTTTCTTGGTTGGCGTTGGACACCCTGGGTGCCAATCTGCGCTCATCAGATCACTCCCTGCAGGAGTAAAGCACTAGCAGAGGAATGGGGCTGAAGTTTGGGTTAGGGCTCATAAAAAACGTACTATGCATATAAACTCAATGGGCAAGTCTTGTCACTGCCTGATCATGTTACACAATAAGCAGTCTTTAATAATGCTTGTTGGTCCATTGTACCTGGCCCAGCCTACTCTATTTACAGCCAATTCTGTCATGATCTTCCAGTAAGGTGAGAACCGCCGTCAGTTTGCCAGCAGCCCCCCTCCTCTTCCTCTCTCGCTCCTTCTCAGACTCACTCTCAGCTGAGCTCTGCTGAACCACTGCTGCTGGACAACACGTTCTGGAAGGTCATGGGAACTGATCAGAGGGTCAAAGAGGGAATGTCAGCCCTCAGAAGTGTTCAGACCACATCCTCTGTCAGGGTCAGGGGCCTGCACTGGGGCTGTGCCGCTTCAGAAGAACACACAGGCTACGGGCAAGAACAGGGCATTCGGCCCATCAAGCCTGTTTGTAAGAAACAGAAGAAAAACGACCCCTTGGAGGGATTCAGTCTCATCATGTCCCTGGGCTCTGTTCTTCTTGATGTTGAAGGCTGACAGTGAGACTAACAGGAATATCCCCCCCAGTCTCTGAGTCGGAACTCAGAGCAGCACGAGCACGATGGGTCACTCTGCTAATAAGAAATTAACAAAATGACGTAATGATTCAGAATAGGAAGCCAATCCTCTTCCCAGGGCCCACAATCACAGAGCAGTGAGAACAGCAAACGACAGTGTCTGCTTCTGAAACTCTGCAGGGTATTTTGACACATTTACCCTACTGTCAGCGAACAGGAGGAGCTGCAGCCCTCTCGCTGTGTCGGACTGCGCCTCTCCTGCTTACCGGCTCCAATGACCTTCTGCTTGGTGATGTGGTTGGGGTGGATCTCAGTAGTGAACTTCAGGACAGCTTGATTGGGGTCCTCATAAGTGTGGGGGTCCACATAGGTCTTCAGGGGCTTCAGTTGCTCTAAGGGGGGCATATAAAGGTCAACAGAGGCAGAGAGCGGGTGGGGGGAGTTCTTAGGGAACCATGCACCCCTGACTTTGCAGGTTGTACCCTTGCTTTGCAGACGCGGAAAATAAGCAAATAAAATAAAAGTGCAATCGTACTGCCATCCTGTTTATGACGATACAGAACCACAGATTCAAATGAACTGAAACTGTACCTGCTGAATATGAGTAGTCTCACATATGAGAGCCTAATACCTGATTAAGGGTATCAGATAAGCACAGATATAGAGGTAACCCGTGCAGAATGCTATGAACTGGGCTGATGAGTACACTCCACCTGGCCTATAAGCAATACTTTCTGTGTTTTCCTCACTATATTAGGCTCAGAGCTTTCTAGACCTTCGCACACAATACAACACTGTCTCACCTGGGCTGGAGAAGTAGGTGTCCTCTGGGCCCTGTCTGGCGTGAGGGTTCCTTCTGCTGGAAGGACACAAGAGCAGTACAATTAGCCTGGCTGAGTCAGGGAGCCCTGTTTAGCTGTTTATGGACTGTCTATGGACTTTGACTGATGTCTTGGAAACAGCCGCATAAGCCTCCCGGATCAGCAATATAAGAGGTGTCCCAGACGTATGATAGAAGTCTCATAAAGGCAAAGAGTCACAGAGGGAAATGGCATCTGCGCTCCTCATTGCAGACGCATGAGTCAGTAACCGATATTTCAGGTTCTGACAAGTTCAACAGAACTGCCATCTTGCGATCTTGGCTACTGCAGAGGTGCCGTACCCTGGTCAGTGGTGTGGAAGCACAGTAAACGCTGGGTTAGGGTTAGTGTTAGAGTGGTCAGGTGACTGGAACTATAGCGACAGTAAAAACAGACTGCAAAAAAAAGTAAATGACTTCAACACTACATAGATTTTCCATGGTTTTTACCTGATATCAATTTTAAGCAAATTCCAACCTTGCAATTATAGACAAACATATCTTGTACAATAGATAAGGTCCTAACGGTGGCTCTTGCCCTATTTGTCTAAGCAGTCTGAAGACGGACCGGAGCAGCTCCTTCAGGGAGATGGCCAAGGCGACACAGTGCTGGTAATCGGGATCTGGAGTGAGAAGGGTGTGTCCAGACCTCCGGATCACCTTGTCACAGCAGGCACAGACACAGCACACAGAGCACAGGCAGCGATACAGCTGCTCATTCTTGATGGCATTTCCCTCCCACGGTCAGTCCTCTAACTGATCACTTTTCAATTAAAGGTGGCAAATTGCAGCCGGCAGAGAGGTGACATCACAGCGTTCAATCATGTTGTGGGATTGCAGGGGAATTCTTTATTCCCGGAATAAACAGGACACTCAGTATGGGTGTGTTTGCTTACTCATTGCCTGTTTGAGGCGGATGTTCATATCAAGAGTTTTATATATCTCAATATTTCTTCAAGACAACAAGCAGTCTAACAACATCAGCAAAAGAAACAACAGGAAGGTTTCAGACATGGTAGTGAGCTGCAATCGCAGAAGAGCAGAGCAGACAAGAGGAGAGGGGAGAGAGGATCGGGGAGGAAGAGGAGCAGAGGAGAGCTGTCCTCACCGTCTCCGCAGTAGCAGCACTATGGCCACGATCAGCAGCATGGCGATTCCCCCGATTGCAGCTCCCAGGATCACGGGCACGTTCCCCTGGGTCTGCTTCTCAGCTGCAAGACAGACAGGGCAGTCAGTCACGGCCCGGGGCTCGAACCTGGGGCCCTGACATCACCTCTGCTTTCTCACTGCTCACATGCTCATCCAGTGTGTATAGAGTGAATACATGAATAAAACACAAACGTCCTGAATGTTTCTGCAGCACTGGGGAGTGTGCTGTGTACACAGGACAAACGTCCTTGGTCTAGAGGAATGCCATTCGCTCTTTCCCATCAGCCACCTGCTTTCCCTTTATCACTCCTCAACAGAAAGTCAAACACACTCTGCAGTGTTTGCAGTCTGGGCTGTTCTCCCCACGGCTCCAGTCTGTCGGAGAGAGGCAGGGCTTCGCCTCTGCCCAGACTCCCGCCTCACTGCCTCACTGCCTCTGCTCAGACTCCTGCCTCACTGCCTCACTGCCTCTGCCCAGACTCCTGCCTCACTGCCTC